AACGTTATACAGAGGTAACGTAAACTCTATAACACCAGCAACAGAATTACCTGGGCCAAACGTTAAGTCGCGTGGGACTTATCTTGCCAAGCCCGGTGTTCTCTCACGGACAACTGTATGTTGCACTGTCTCGAGCCAAAACCATATGTGGGATCTCTGTGTTAGTGCGGGACGGCAAGTTCCCCGGATTCAACCAGAACGTCGTGTACCGCTCGATTTTTGCCAACGACGAAAACTAAATACTCCATAACACGGAATTCACTCTTTCCAAATATCGTGCACACATCCATTCAAATGACGGTCATGGGCACAACCTGCTTTTTGCATAAATAAACGATTCTGCATCATACGTACCATGCCGTATTTCCCCTATCGTACCATCAACTAAGCAAATATAGGAAGCCTAAGCAATTATCAATAGGCGGACGTGTTGTTCGTCACGTTGTTCAACATAAATATGTACAGATCCGAAACCCTCGCTGTACTCAACGAAGCAAATCATCCTGCACATCAAGTTACTACGGCATTGTTTTTCCTCACACAACACGGACACGCGATAGTTCGAAAACACTGCTTCTTGAATGACAAACTTCTTCCGAGTGTATACGTAAGTACTGTTCACCACATCCAACACAACGGTCGTGCCGGCAATATGGATTGTACTCTGACCAACATATCACGAGTCAATCTGCGGAGCTATTGGAGTGACCGCGAGATGGCGCCGACTGTGTTCTGACAAACATGTCACGAGATAAATAGCGATGCGATTGAACAAACCCACAAGGTGGCACCGACATGCATTCTGACATACACGTCGCGTGTCAAACGGCGGCGCTATTGGTTGTTCCTGAGATGTGGAGCTAACTGCTTTCAAGTCAACAAGCCACGCGTCACAGATCACAGCGTTAGTGAGTTTAGATGCACGGCTTAGTCTTAGCATAGCTACAAGGTTTCTACCGCAGCCTATACTATTTCAGTGGACCACACCGCAAAAGGACTGATTCCCATCTTCTCGCAAAACACCGGACCCCGTTGTACCGCAGATAGAAGAGTTTTGAAAACGCATACTACAAACAGAAAATGTCTGAAAACTATGCCAGGCTCAACTATGACAACAATAATAAGCAGCAACAAAAGCTACATACCGTGTAGTGTATATTGGTTTAGACAGCCTTTTTGATGTGGACTCCTGTATAAAATAGTACTATTTGCAGTTAGACACATATCAAATTTGGCTAGTTTATCCTTGGCGCCTTTAAGGACCTCTTATACTTCATATAACCCCTATCTACCGATAAAGTATCGATACAAAGCGAGTTTGGTTGTGAGATCTAC